CTGTTCCTATAAAGTGCAAATAGCTTACAGCTTTTTTTTTTAAAGCAACAAAAGAAAAGTCTTTGAAGAAATGTGCAATGCTAATTTAAAAGTTTGCTGACTAAGATGACAACCTGTGGACAGATTAGCATGCCAGAGATTAATGTCATATTTGCACTATTAAAATATAATTAATAATAATATAAATTATATTTATTATTAAAATGCTTACATTTTATTAGCGATTTTAAGGTATGAAAAGTGCTTAGATTTGTGATCAAATGTTTGGAACTGCTTGAAAATGCAGTTGCGTTGCTTTCATAATAATTAATCTTACTAAATAGGTAATAATCAATAACTGTTTAGATAAATTTAGGTAGTTTTGCTTTTGCAAAACAACAACAACAACAAAATAACTCTGAAGACTGCAAATGTACCTGTCTTTTTATCTGCTTCCTTTGAAATTACAATAAATGGTAAAAAAACATGAGACACATTTAAAATAAACTACATATAAGTAAATTGGAGTTTTTAATGTTCAAACATGCCATCAAAAAGGTCCTTAGAATACTACTATATACTGTAACATAGCATTTGATATAATTAGGCCTGTCATGATATCTGTTTTTTGTTGAACGATATATTGCATGAAAATATATTGAAATAAATTAAATTATTGTCATTTTAAGACCATTTTATGCCACTCATTATATAATGCCAGAATGACTGTTTGATATCTTCACAATGCAAGTACACTATTGCAAAGAACGCATAATATTTTATTCTTATGAATATTTAATTTAATTGTAGTCATTATAAAAATTTATTAATTAGGCATTGGGATAATAACGTGAAAGTGCCTATCCCAAATGAATAATAATAAATGTTAACAAAAGAGTGCAAGGTAAAAGTAACAGAGGCTACAATAACATATCTATTTTTAGATGTCTGACACCCACATGAAAATATACTAAAGTCATTAATAGTAAATACTATAGTGTTTTTTATAACTATATTGACACTGACACCTTCAATAGAGACATTGTGCAATCAGCTAAAATGTTGAGCTGGTTTTATACATTGCATCAGGTCATGAGGTCATGTGCCTGTGTTGTGTGATAAGTCAATATATTGATTATTGTGACAGGCCTAGATATAATGTGATGAAGTATATAAATGTAAATATGTAATTTGCCACTATTAAAAAGTGATGCAAAGGTTTAAAAATACCTGGAAATTGATTGAAAAGTCTTTAAATTTGACTTTGGAAAATATGTAAAAACCCTGTAATAATAAACTATAATTCCAGACAATTACATAAAGTAATAAAACAGTATCAAGACTTGTCATCACATTTAATACACACTGAAAAATAAAAAGGCAATCATCGTTACCCTCCGTTTATCTTCTGGTGACATTCAATCTTACTTACAAAAACAAACTGGTGTCAAAACAATTTAAGTATAGTGAAGAAATACAGGCAAACATATCCACAAGTGGGAACTTTACAGCATGAGCCAACTGTACCATTCCAGGAAAAATCATATTAAACTCATCTATCCTCTCTTCTCTCTTTACCTCTCCCTCTAAATCTCAGATTTTCTCTTTTACAACGTTTGGTATCACCCCAATTGCTCATAAAAGAGATTTATTGATGTTCCATTCATGGATATGGCATTACACTGATACTAAACAGAACAGTAAACATTTAAAATGTTTCACACTAAAATAACATATAGTCACATTCAATTCAGGCATTAAAATCTGTTTCGAGAAACTTGTAGATTGCGTGATACAAAAGGTAAAAAAAGAACATGCATGTATGTATGTATGTATGTATGTGTGTGTGTGTGTGTGTGTGTGTGTGTATATATATATATATATATATATATATATATAAATATAACCGGCCACTTTATTAGGTACACCTTACTAGTACCAGTTTAAGACCCCATTTTGCCTTCAGAACTGCCTTAATTCTAGATTCAACATTGACAAGGTAAGGGAAGTATTCCTCTGAGATTTTGGTCCATATTGACATGATAGCATCACGCAGTTGCTGCAGATTTGTCAGCTGCACATCCATGATACGAATCTCCGCCTCCACCACATCCCACATGTGCTCTATTGGATTGAGCTCTGGTGACTGTGGAGGCCATTTGAGTACAGTGAACTCATTGTCATGTTCAAGAAACCAGTCTGAGATGATTCACGCTTTATGACATGGTGCATTATCTTGCTGGAGGTAGCCACCAGAATATGGGTACACTGGCCATAAAGGGATGGACATGGTCAACAACAATACTTAAGGAGGCTGTGGTGTTGACATGATGCTCAATTGGTACTAATGGGCCCAAAGTGTGCCAATAAAATATCCCCCACGTCATTACACAACCACCACTAGCCTAAACCGTTGATACAAGGCAGGATGGATCCATGCTTTCATGTTGTTGACGCCAAATTCTGATCTTACCATTCATATGTCTCAGCGGGAATTGAGACTCATCAGACTAAGCAACGTTTTTCCAATATTCTATTGTCCAATTTTGGTGAGCCTGTGTGAATTGTAGCCTCGGTTTCCTGTTGTTTGCTCAAGGAGTAGCACCAGGTGTGGTCTTCTGCTGCTGTAGCCCATCTGCCTCAAGGTTGAACGTGTTGTGCATTCAAAGATACTCTTCTGCATATGTCAGTTATAACGAGTGGTTATTTGAGTTACTGTTGCCTTTCTATCAGCTCGAACCATTCTGGCCATTCTCTTCTGACCTCTGGCATCAACAAGGCATTTGTGCCCACAGAACTGCCACTCACTGGATATTTTCTCTTTTTCAGACCATTCTCTGTAAACCCTAGAGATGGTTGTGTGTGAAAATCCCAGTAGATCAGCAGTTTCTGAAATACTCAAACCAGCCAGGCACCGACTACCGTGCCACATTCAAAATCACTTAAATCAGCTTTCTTCCCTATTCTGATGCTCGGTTTGAACTGCAGCAGATCGTCTTAATCATGTCTACATGCCTAAATGCATCGAGGTACTGCCATGTGATTGACTGATTGGATATTTGCATTAATGAGGGGTTGGGCAGGTGTACCTTATGAAGTATATAGTGAGTATATATGTGTATATATTTGTTTATGTATGTATACATGCATACAAACACATACAAATATACATGCACGTATATGTCATATGTGCTGTTAAAATTGTGGGGGCATTATGGGAACAGTGACTTGAATACTCATTATTACAGATAAGGCATACCTTTTCCCAGGTGGTCTTTCAAAAAACAGGTTATTAGATTTTTCTTCCCTTTGTCTTCAAATGATCTAATCTGCCTGGAAAGGTTACAAGCTCTCAATTTTATTAGTTGATTTTGAACTACATGACATTACATGATAACTAAATCATGACATGGGTGTACTCTTGAAATGTGGATGCTCTATCCATTGGGAATGCACTTGAAAATAAATTAAAGCAGAATTCATTTATCATACAGTGTAATACTCTCATCAGTCATGTAGACAGCTGAGTTACACAGCCTGACATGAGATCTGCAATCTGAACAGATGTTAGGTTTGTCTATTTCTTAAGAAGGTCACTGCTACGTCTCTTTCTCTGTCAGTTCCATCTAATGTTTCTTTCAAGTTTTAATACTTTATACAGTATCTGTTTGCATGTCCTGTAAGGCTACATATTTGATACTACAACCTCAGTATATTTAACAAAAATGCTGCTTTGTGCTGATGTTGTGTGTGTGTGTGTGTGTGTGTGTGTGCGTTTGTTTAAAAAGAAGAGCCACAAAAATAAGCCCTGGTGGAATGAAAAACTCCAGCCCAGTTTTGTTTGCTCAGTGGATATAGTCAGTTTTCCCCTTTAAGGCTGCAGCTTGACATTTATAAGCTGACAGGTATATTCAGATTTATTGTGGGTTTTAGCTTGCATTACGCTTGGGCATTAGGGTTAGCATTAGGGCTTAGCTAACTGCAATTTCCAGGCATTTGTACACTGTCAGTGCCTCCAAACTTAGCTCTGTGCCTCAAGGAAGAAGAGATAATGTTTCAAATGCAAGTATTGCCTTCGACTAATTCATTTCTTAGAGCTTTCATTGTGTTTGGGTGAAAAATAAACTACATGGCCCAGAGACCATCTTGTGCTGCCTTAACCATTTTTATGCTGCCTTAACCAAGATTTAGCAATATAAAAGCGTTTAAAATCTAAAATGCTACGGGAGACATAATCATCATACCTTAAAATTACAGCATAGGGATTAGATGCTTTCAATCCTGTGAAGTCAAATGGGTTCTAGGCACAACTTCCTTCCTTGGACCAATTATATTCAACACCATACAATCTTAGAGCAAGTTTTCATAAACATATTTTCAATACTGTTTTGTTACTTATACAGGTCTTTGCCAATATAAAATACATTTGCAGTGTTTTACACTATTCTCCTATTCCACCTTTAGCCTCAATTACAGTATGCATTTGCCAGGGAATTATTTCAACAATCTTCTGCACTGTCACTAAATTTATTTCTGTAGGATTGGATTAATTTTTGGCTAATGTTTTATGTGAATTGAATTCATTAAACAGATTAGTTAACTACAAAAATTAAAATTCTCTTATTTTTCCTAATTCCTCACCTTCATGTCTTTCTAATCCCCTGAAAACTTCAGTTACCTTTGTAACACAAATTATACAATTTTAGATGAAATATAAGAGCTTTCTGAATCTCCATGTACAGCAAAGTCCACAAATGTCATGCTTCCATACTTTATAGCACACTAAAATCAGTATGCAACTTGAGTAATATGTCCGAATTCATAGAATTCATAAAACGGTATGCACCCGGGTGACCTACTACTTGGCGAGATTCTAGGTGCATCCTAAATCACATACTTATACACTAGTATTTTACGCTATTTTATAGTATAAATAGTGTAAGTAGTGCTTTCACACTGAAAACTCTAAAAAGATTAAGTGCATTTTAAATACTCGGATGATGCACTTATTTAACCGGTAAAATAAAGTGTGGAATGTTGGACACTTCACACACTCAACGACTGCAACTTTCCTCACATAGTGGAAGGGGTGGAGCTTTTTGGGCTCATGTTGGATTACATTATGTGAAAGCAAAAGTTTCCTACTTGAGTGATTATACCACCTCCCTATTGAGAATGTGGTTATACTCATAGCACGTATATTTGGTAGTTTGGTCATTTATTTCACCATTTTGGCAACTGACTAACGTCATCTGGGAAACTGTTTAAATTTCCACCTTGTAAAAAAAAGTTAAAACGACACTATACTATGCTATTGGGTGTGTAAATGCATAGGTACATAGTGCATAGTGTAGAGCATGCTATTTGGGATGCAGGTTCTGAAGTGTGCATTCGATGGATGCTATGCTATCCCATGATGCACCACGAGAAAATTTTATGAATGGGAGTGAAGTGATGCAACTGATGTGGGTAGGCCATGTGATAAATTCAAAAGCCAAAAGTTCTGAGGTAATTTTGGATGCAGCGATTTTCAAAGTATTCCATGTGACTTCAGTGGTTTGATGCCAATTTGTTCTGCATTAGATCAGGGTGGGCATTTACTATTTGGAATATGACACTTGCGTGTTGTACTGCTAAATCTATTAGCAAATGTACATCCTGATGACCTTACAAAGAAGAAAATATGTTCACGGAGCTTTGTACAATCATAGTTGAACCACTGAAGACACATGGAATGTTCTATCAATGTTTTTGAATCCGTTTCTGTACGTTGAACTCTCAGGAGCATTGCTGTCTATGGAGGATGAGGGAGCTCTCAGATCTCATTCAAAGTATCTTACAGTGATTTCTGAAATAGAACAAAGATCTCAAGAGATCAGAACAACATAAACTGACCCCTTTAATCAACATGTTAATTAAGATCACAGGGCTGAAGACTGTGTAAAAGGTTTGGCACTGCAGTGGATACTCATTGTACATTCAAACTCAGTACTGGTTTTAATGTCATTCATCATCATAAATTGATTAGGACGCTTACACAGAATTGTTTCTGAGTCTAAAAGATGTCCGTGACACATCAGTGTTCATTGTAGACATTGGAAAGTGTTCGTAGCTGTCCTCTAGTGGCTGAAAATGGCAGTGTAACACCACGGAGGCCACGTCCTTGCGGAAGTTGCTGTTGAGGAATCCATAGATGATGGGATTGACGCAGGTGGAGCTCATGGCTAACAGATGGCAGAGTGAAAACAGCAGATTGTGGTTGCACACGGGCAGCACCTCCTGGTGCCAGTCTGCCACCACATTGAAGGCATTTAAAGGCAGCCAGCACACAGCAAACGCAGCTACCAAAGTGGCAAGCATGACGTTTATGCGTTTACTGTGCATCACACGCCTGTGTTCATCCTCTCTGTTGCGGCTGCACTGGCGCTCCAGCATGCGTTCTCTTCGCTGCAGCCGGAGGAAGATGCGAAGGTAGCAAAGTAGCATGAGGAGCAGAGGACAGCAGTACTGGAATAGCAACAAGCTGGTGGTGTAGGCAAGTTTGTGCTCTTGAGAAGGCCAAACTTCCAGACAGACCTGCAGCTGACTGAGCGGCGCTGGAAACAAACTGTATGGCTCGCTGGTGAGCAAGTGGAACGCCAGGAACGGTAATGATGTTACACAGGCCAACAGCCACACAGTCAAAACGGCAATGTATGCCTGTGGGACGCTCGGCTTCCAGCCAGACGGGTGCAGGATGAGCTGATGCCTTTCAAGTGCAATCAAAACTAGGGACAGAACCGAAACTGTGACAGACACACACTGCACAAATGGCATCAGGCGACATAGCAGCGCACCAAAAATCCAGTGGTCCATGAGTGTGTAAACCACAGTGAAGGGAAGGCAGAACACACTCACTAGGATGTCAGAGACCGACAGGTTGGCAATGAGGATGCTAGTGACGTTAGGAGGGTCCCGCTGGTGCATAATAATGCAAATGAGGAGGATGTTACCGAGCAAGCCCAAAATAAGCACCAGGCAGTAGCATAGCACTAGTGTGAGTGTCATGGTGCTGGATTGCCAGCAGGGGACGTCAAGCAGGAACAGACTACTGTTGCTTTGATTGTGGGTGAGGGTGGAGTTTAGCAGCGCCTGCCACAACGGCATGTCAAAGAGAGCCGACGGCATTGGCCACCTCAGGATAGCTCCAGACAGCAAATCATCTTGGGAGTCTGAAAATAACAAAGAGGTGCATCTAAATTAGACATGCACACCCCTAGGACACTCAGCATGCTTTTGAGAAGATATGATACTATAGGGACCAGGTTATTTTGGAAATAACGAGGATGTGAAGTGACCTTTCACAATTTTACTCTTTAAGACAAGGTTTTACTTAATACCTTCTAATGCACCGTACCTCTGAGAGCATGTATTATTATAGACCTTTATGTGAAAAAGAGAGCTGTGTTGACACCTTTGATTAAAAATAAAACAGATCTCTTTATTTGACTTTTTCTATAGTCGAACGTAATGGGAAAGAGATAAAAGCAAAGCGCGTGGGAGGAATGATACTGTGACCCTGCTGAGGGATTTGCAGTGCGTCCAATTATAGATGTTCCTTTGGGGGTGGCCATTGATCAAGACCTGCAATGGCTCATAATGAGAACGCAGTTGGCCCGCCTTGGCAAACCATCCATAGATTGTAGGCTAATGGAAACTGTAGTGTTTTTATCTTTGTGTGTGTATCTTGGGTAGCAGGCTTGCAGAACGGCCTTATATCGATCTGAGTGTTCTGTGGATAATCTATAGATGCTCTGAAGTCACTGCACAACTCTTCCTAATGTACTCTTTTGCAGTGTCTGAAAAGTGCCTCACATTCCATTAATCACTAGTCTAAATTTTCAGTTCATCCAGAAATATAAATTGAGTCCTTTACTAACCCTGCTCTTGTGTACCCTTTGTTATTTTTCATACCACCAAAGAATAATTTTGGCTTGTCTTTGTCAATGGAGGCAGTGAAAAGTGATGAGTAGGGATGGATGATAACATCTCATATCTATATCTCATATCTATAATGATATACTGTATATCATAATATAGTAACATTTTGTAAATTAATTCAGTTAATAGCTATAACTAAAAATAGTATATAGTGCATCCGGAAAGTATTCATAACTCTTCAATCTTACCACATTATTTTTTATGTTACAGCCTTTTTCCAAAATGGATTAAACTTATTTATTTACTCAAAATTCTATACACAATACCCCATAATGACAATCTGAATAAAGATTTGTTGAAATTATTGCAAATTCATTAAAAAAATAAAAACCTGAAAAATCAAATGTACATAAGTATTTACAGTCTTTGCCATGAAGCTCTAAATTGAGCTCAAGTACATTCTGTTTCCACTGATCATTCTTGAGATGTTTTAGCAGCTTAAATGGAGTTCACCTGTGGTAAATTCAGATTCACATGATTTGAAAAGGCATACACCTGTTTAAGTGCCTGGGTTGACAGTGCATGTCAAAGCACAAACCAAGCATGAAAACAAAGGAATTGTCTGTAGACCTCTATGACAGGATTGTCTCAAGGCAAGGTAACAGAAAAATGTCTGCTGCTCTGAAAGTTCAATGAGCACAGTGGCCTCCATCATCCATAGGTGGAAGATGTTTGGAACCACCAGTACTCATCCTAGAGCTGGCTGGCTATCTAAGCTGAGTGATCAGGGGAGAAGGGCCTTAGTCAGGGAATGGATCAATAAACCAATGGGCACTCTGTCTGAGCTCCAGTGTTCTTCTGTGGCGAGAGGAGAACCTTACAGAAGGACAAGCATCTGTGCAGCAATCCACCTATCACACTGAAAACCCTAATAAGTTGACTGAACTAAATAAATTGAGTAAACTTGTTGCCTCAATTTAATTGAGTAATGGAGTCTCCCAAAACGTGCGTATTTGATTAAATAAAGTTAAATATGCAAGTTTTGGGAGACTCCACTACTCAATTAAATTGAGGAAGCTAGTTTACTCAATTAATTTAGTTTAGTCAACTTATTAGGGTTTTCAGTGCAGACCTGTATGATAGAGTGGCCAGACGGAAACCACTCACCACCTGTAATTTGCCAAAAGGCATCTGAAGGACTCTCAGACCATAAGAAACAAAATTCTCTAGTCTGATGAGATTAAAATTGAACTTTTTAGAGTAAATGCTAGGCATTAAAGGGCACCTATGGTAAAAAATCTACTTTTCAAGCTGTTTGGACAGATCTGTGTGTTGGTATAGTGTATAGACCGTCATACTGGGGTGATATGAACACACTCAGTCCTTTTTTTTCAATTTAACTACAAAAAAAAAGGGTCGGCCAATTGGAGCTGTTTTCAAATCGATCGCACCATTACGTTGGTGTGCGATTTTTCCCCCCCGCCCACCGAATTGATTGACAGCTGCGCGCATTAACATGTTCCGGTAGTCCCGTGTATATGTCAACAAAACCAGACAGACATACGCAAAGCAACCGGTAATATATATATATTTTTTTATATATATATATTTATTTATATATATATATTTATTTATATATATATATATATATATATATATATATATATATATATATATATATATATATATATATATATATATATATATATACTGTATATATATATATATATATACTGTATATATATATACATACATATGCTTTGTTACCATTGCAAACAAAATGATTAATTGGTGTTGTGTTTATGAGTGAGTCAGAGTGAACTGCACCAGTGAATTGCATAAGCATTTTGAACAGACAACTTGTCATGATTTCTATGAAATAATATATAAAATTAAGGTAATATTTTTCCCTGCCCAAACCCTATTTTATTAACCCCAAAATAAATATTGCACGTAACACACAGGATTATTCTTTAATACTTTTGTGTCAAAAGCTTAATCATGGCCTCTGTTCACCACCAATGTATGATTTTATTTATTGTAAATTCTCCTTTTGTGATCAGGAAAAGGAGGATGGGCATTAAGCTTTGGAAAATACATGAGGAACAGTAAGTTTGTTTTTGACTAAAATAACACACCTGCATGACTGTATTTCTTGGAACAGAAAAAGAGATGTTATACATGCTTTATTCCTTTCATAAAATGTCCAACTTTGGAATGGTGACGTTGTAATTGCATACAATATCAGGGAATGGGACATTCTTGCCTCTTTGTGTTAATTTTTTATTGACGATTTAATCGATATCCAGCAGATTTGGAATAAAATGCAGCAATTACCATCACCATGATTGCATTCAAATTCACAATTATTGGAACTTAAAACACATCTGTTTAGCTGTGGGTTTACTGAATGAGCATTCTGCTATGTGCGACAGATCGCACTATTATGTCTTTCTTTTTTTTTATTCTTTTAAAACCTGTTTAAACACATTTTAATCAGTTTTTTTTTTCAGTTTTTAATATTTTTTTTCTTTTAATCATTTTATTTTCTTGTTTATTTTATTCATGTTTAAGTAAAGCACTTTGAATTACCCTTGTGTATGTGCTATATAAATAAACTTGCCTAACACTAGCACATTATTATAAAATGTAGATGGTCAGCTTGTTGACGATTGTGTAATTTTAGGCAAAATGAGACAGTAGATGCATCATATGGTTTTATATATGTAACTGCGCAAAATTTTAACAGCGAAAGAAAACAATATGGATTGTGGGAAAAGCGAATACAGCTAAAAAAGATAGCCCACCCAAGAATGAAAATTCACTCATTATTTACACACCCTTAAGTTTCTTTATTCTGTTGACCGTAAAATATATTATGAAGAAAGCTGAAAACCTGTAACCTCTGACTTTGGAAGTCAACAGGTTACAGGACTTCAGCATTCTTCAAAATATCTTCTTTTGTGTTCAACAGAAGAAAGAAAGATAATGATGATCCATTTTGGGTGAACAATTCCCTTCAGTAACTGCAGCAATATTTCTGTCCTTTACATGCTGGAGCCCACCTCAATCAATCTTTCATATTATGATAATTTGCTACAGTATTTCTGATAGCATGTGAAGACTGCAATAGGCAGGGTATTCATGCTGTTTTTTCCATACAGTTAAAGGCATGGGTTATCAGAAGTTGTGTAAAAAAGGTAAAAACACAAAGAATATTTCATATATTTTCATAAATGTTTATAGATGACTCATGCACTGCTCCACAATTTCAAACAACTGCCTTGAGTGAGAAAGAGAATGAAATTGAAGTTTATAAAAAGAAAAAGCCGCAGCAACACTCTCTTTTTGTGTTTCAGAAATTCATACAGGTTTGTAAAAGCATAGGTGACTTACTGATGACAGCGGCACAGCCAATCATTACAATTTGTGCGGCGTATCATTATGTGGGCAACCGGTGTGAAAATCAAAAGAAAATTGCAGAAGAGCTGATTGTGTTGAAACCCTGATGAGAATCTCAGTCATCCGTAAGTTTAAGGTAAAGAGGCATAGTTAGCGTTTGACTGGGCTTTTCAGAGCTAGGTATTTAACACTGACCAGATCTTTATTTTCACAGCAAATAACATTTTGACGCTTGGCTTTAGTTGTGTGTCTGTCTTCTCTATTTTTCTTTGTTAGTCTCTCTCGATCGCCCTCTCTCTCATTCACAGGAAAGACATAATGAGATAATTGTTGACTTCCTGGTGCAATCAGAGTGCCTCATTTAATTACAATATAATATTAGAATTCCCTCATCGCCAAACAAGTCTGCAACTTGGCAAACACAGAGCCAAGCTGAGACTAAAATCTGGTTATTGTGGTCAAATGTGTGGGGGTTTTAATTCATACATGCATTTTTCCACACTTTTACCATTATTAACCATAATTCCAGTTGGATCGGAAGTTAACTAAAGATCAAATAAAATAAAGGTCATCTGTTTCATTCTTGGTGTGAAGTTATTATTTCACTCTTTGGTCAGATATTAGATTTTAAAATGTAAAAAATGAAAGATTTTTTTAAAGTTTAAATTTGAAAGCCCTAATCTGCAGCCTGTTTTTAGACCGTTTTAATTTGACCACCATCTTTTAATAATAAAAAATACAAATAAAATCCTTAAAGAATCTTTAACACCTGCACATGTGTTTTTGTGTGATAAAGAATGATCTCTAGCCTGCCTTACAACTGAAATCTTTTAATATCATCAAATGCTATTCTTCACCTGTGATAGGACTCAGATGGAGAGAAGATCGCATTAACCCCCTGCACCCTTTCTCCCTCTCTGTCATTTTCCTTTCATGATCATCCCAATCTCACATTATCCTCACCTGTAGGAGAAAAATGAGGAGATTTTCTCCACGTTTTATGTGTCCCACAGACCAAATCTTGAAATTCTCAGATCTGCTTTCACACACAAAAAACTATACGCTTTCAAATATAATTTAAAACCCTGAGCTGTAGATTACATCTTATAACACACAGATGTGTTCTCGGATTTAAGGTTTAGACATTTTTTTTTTAAATACTCACAATAGAGCTGTACAATTTATCAGAATTATTGACATTTTGGAAATGTGAATATTGAAACATACACTTACCAGCCACTTTATAAGCTACACCTTACTAGTACTGGGTTGGATCCCCTTTGTGTTTTAGAACTGCCTTAATTCTTCGTGGTATAAATTCAACAAGGTACTGGAAATATCTCTGAGATTTTGGCCTATATTGACATGATAGCATCACGCAGTTGCTGCACATTCATGATGCGAATATCCTGTTCCACCACATCCTAAAGGTGCTCTATTGGATTGAGATCTGGTGACTGTGGAGGCCATTTAAGTACATTAAACTCTTTGTCATATTAAAGAAACCAGTCTTAGATGATTCATGCTTTATGACATGGCGCATTATCCTTCTGGAAGTAGCCATCAGAAGATAAAGGGATGGAAATGGTCAGCAACAATACTTAAGTAGGCTGTGGCATTGAAAAGATGCTCAATTGGTACTAATGGGCCCAAAGTGTGCCAAGAAAATATCCCCCACACCATTACACCACCACCAATGATACAAGGCAGGATGGGTCCATGCTTTCATGTTGTTGACCATACTATCCAAATGTCACAGCAGAAATCAAGACTAATCAGACCAGGCAACATTTTTCCAATTTTCTATAGTGTGAATTGTAGCCTCAGTTTTCTGTTCTAAGCTGACAGGGGTGGCACCCAGTGTGGTCTTCTGCTGCTGTGGTTAACTGAGATACTGTTGCTTCTGATCTCTGGCATCAACAAGGCATTTTTGCCCACAAAACTGCTGCTCTCTAGACCTTTTCTCTTATATGGTTGTGCATGAAAATCCCAGTAGTTGGACAGATGTACCTAATAAAGTGGTCGGTGAGTGTACATATCACAATGGTTTGCAATGAATACACTGATTTAATAGAAAAGCAACTTAATGGATGCTAAAAAATAATAAGAAATCTTTTATGAATTTATTTCTTCTATTAAACAATCAAAATATATACTGAAGAATGGTGAAAAAGCAGCCATTGTCATTCATATTAAGAACGGAAGATACTAGCAGCTGTTTTTCTTTGTATTTAACAGAAGCCAGAAACTCACAGAGGTTTTGAACAAGTGGAGGATGAGTACAAGTTTACATGATTTTAATTTTTGTGTGATCTTTCCCTTTGAGAAAGACCTTAAAGAATTTTTTTTTAAATATTTTATTGTATATCAAATATCGAATATGTAGTAGTTAGCATTCTGTAATTGCATAGCACTTTAAATATCACACAGCCCTAACTCACAACATGATTATTGTTTCTTTTTTTTATTTAAATCATCTCTACACATAACATCGGGGTTGTTTATTCCTTTAGTGTTATGTGGTGTATCTGAAGTAGCACATCCATAACAAGTTTAAACTGAACCCTGATTGTGTTTTCATACAGACTCCAATATGACCCAAATAAAATCTTATGAGTATCACTAAATCTAGTCTGCTGACCGCCTGCACAAATATACCAATCTGCAGAGGTGTGCATGTGTTTATGTGTGCAAGGGAGAAAATTGCCACTGTGTCCTCACTTCATGGCAACACCAGAGAGCTTCAGTCTATGTCAACAAGTCCAACAGAGGACTGCGGCTTACTACAAGCTCTTTCAACCTGATCCAAACACCTGTGCATGTGCATGCATGGATGATGCTGGATGCAATATGGGAAAAGCAGTTAATGGGATCTAAAATGCTGAAACGACTTTACTGAATTCTCCTTTTAAAAGAAAAAAAGCCTCCATGAGGCTTAACATCACTGTCACAGCTAATTAGACTTCAGAAATATACAAAATACTTAACATGACTGATTCTATTGTTTGTGAAACGTTAAATTAAACACAACGCTTTAAATTGCAGTCATTTTTACAAAAGGGAGTTAAATAGCATGCATTCTTATTTAATACACATGTATAATGGAAACATGCATCTCTGTGTGTAGCATTTTCAGAACTTACCTGTGTCTTCTACAGCAGATTGCTGTCAGGCAGTCGAGGGGAAAAAACAGTCTGATTCAGCCAACTCCAGATGTTCTACCTCAACACTCGCATCTCTTCTCTTTCTCTCTCTCTCTCTCTCTCTCTGTCTCTCTCTCTCTCTCTCTCTCTCTCTCTCTCTCTCTCTCTCTCTCTCTCTCTCTCTCTCTCTCTCCTCCTTCTTCATCTTGTGATCTCTCATTATTGCAGTGTGCTGTCTCTGTAGAAACTGTTCTGCTGGGCTTCACACTGTAAGCATAACCCCATGTATTTAACCGTGTGTTTACTGCCCACGTGTGACACGTGCAATGTACTGCAGTAGATTCTTTTGGATACAACTTAGAAACTAAAATAATTAATTAATTTATTTACATGTATTTTTAGAAAATCACTTGCAAACAACACGTATGTGTGCATAAATGGTATGTGGTAAAATTAAAGGAGTCTGGACTTTTTCCATCCATCCATCATGTTTCATTTATGCATCATCCATCCATCCATCCATCCATCCATCCATCCATCCATCCATCCATCCATCAGTATCCATTAATTTATCAGTTCATAAATTTCTATCCATTCATCCATCCATCCATCCATCCATCCATCCATTAATATCCATTAATTTATCCATTCGTAAATTTCCATCCATCCATCCATCCATCCATCCATCCATCCATCCATTAATATCCATTAATTTATCCATTCGTAAATTTCCATCCATCCATCCATCCATCCATCCATCCATCCATCCATCCATCCATCCATCAATATCCATTCATTTATACATTTGTCAATTTCCATCCATCCATCCATCCATCCATCCATCCATCCATCCATCCATCCATCCATCCATCCATCCATCCATCCATCCATCCATCCATATTCCAAATCCATTGATTTATCCATTCGTCAATTTTTATCCATCCATAAATTTCCATCCATCCATCCATTTACAATTTCCACTCATCCATTCATCTATCCATTCATTTACAATTTCCATCCATCCATTTATCCATCCATTTATTCATCCATCCATCCATTTTTATCCATTTCCACTTTTCCACATTCATCTTGAACCATCCTCATCCATTTCCATCTATCTCCATCCATTTCCATCCATTTCCATTCATATCCATCCATTTCCATTCATCCTCATCCTTTTCCAGCTACCCAAACTTGACAGTCTAGAGATAAAATGTCCACTTGGTGGTGCCAAAAACAAGCTTTTCAATCTTCAGAGATTTTCAAGAGATATGGTTCCCCCAAAATGAAAATAAATGCATTTATTCTGTACAAGTTAAACAATAAAATAAATGTCTAATTTATATTTAACCTTTTTTGCTACAGTCACCTTGTGGTTTGTTAGTGGTATCTTTGGGGGACATATGGTCTGACTGCTAGCATTAAAGTAAACCAATGCTCCCGATTTGTCTGCTACAGTATACTTTTCATGGTTGGTTACTTACTGGTGGTTGCTTTGCATCTGTGATTAGCTATGTTTCCATCCACCTATTTTTATGTGCATAAAAAAACAGTTGATGGAAATGCCATCATGCGCATGAATCTTTAAAAAGTGCATAAAAAAAGATGTGCATAACTGAGTAGGATAAACTTTTTATCCGATAAGAAATAATTTGCAAAAAATAAGATGGAAACGCATTTATTGTTTTACATTTTATATTGACACACATTCTAGAAATGCACAGATGCATGCTCTTAGGTCTGTTTATTTAAATGCAATTAAAATCAGCTCATCAAACCTGCTGGTTATTTGTTTATTGTTCACAAGTTTACTTTTCTTGTGCTTCACCTCCTGATCCTTCAGTGTTGTCAGCGCTGTTCCAACAACAAAAAAATAAAATACAAATGGTTTACATAATGTTTTCCCCTTTTCATTTTTAATCGAATTTATTTAACTTTTTTGTTTTTGGAAATCTGTGCATGGCATAATAAAATACACCGAATGCAACATAATCACACCAAAAGTGTAAATGAAAATTTGTGTTTGACCCTGGACCACAAAACCAGTTGCATGATGGGTATGTTTGTGGGAATAGGACATTGTATTGGTCAAAAGTATAGTATTATTTGTAATTAAGTATAAATTTATGTATAATTAAGTATATATTTCTTTTATGTCAAAATTCATTCCAATATTAAAAAAGATCAGATGTGTTCTGATATTCCTACTGTTAATATAATTTTTGGTTGGTAATGTGCATAAGCATTTAATTGGGACAAATTTAAAGATAGTTTTCCTTAATATTAAATTTTTTTAGTCCCAGATGGCAGATTTTCAAATAGCTTTATTTTGACCAAATATTGTCCTGTACTAACAAACATTCATTAATGGAAAGCTTATTTATTCAGACTTCAGAAAATGTATACATCTTAATTTACAAAAAATTACATTTGTGCCTGATTTTGTGGTCCAGGGTCAGATAAATAATAAAAAGAGAAGTGTTTATTAAAATGTGTGCGTGCATGCGTGTGTGTGTCTGTGGCCGGCCTACTGTGAACAAAGGTTTAGCTCAATATTTTATTTACCCGGGGTTGTGGTCGCCATATAAATCTTCAAAATAATCACCGATGATTGTGGTGGGCTTAGTTGGGGCAGGGGTCCCAAATGTCTCCCATGTCCTTGCACAAAAAGGTATAAAGACAATAACTAGCAGAACAGGGTGGCATACTTGTTACAATATGCAAAATATCACAGAATTTCCTCATTTTGTAGTGAACAAAATATAAGGAGTGTACATTGAAAAAAATATTTGTTAATTAACAGTTTCCATTTTTGGTTTGTTTATTTATGGCTGTGAATTCCATTATGGGAAGTTTATTTCTGCTCTGTCGACTTTTGAATTTGAAAAGTGACTTTTAATGACATGTTAGTTCTTTGAAATAATGTAATGTGTAAGAAATAATATAGAGACAAATATGTCTGTAAAATAACACAAAATGTACTGGCAGTTTATTACAAGGTTTTTGTAACATAATATACAACTCCAATCCAGACAATATATCACTTTAAACTATTAAAAATTTTACAAAAGTCATTTTTAAAAAAAATGTTTAAGGTTGAAAGTTGATGGAAGAAAGATCGACGTCCCATATTGTAATTCAAAAGCATAAATAAATGGGGAAAACTGCTAATTTTATTACAGTGTGCAAGTACTGTACCTTTCACAACAGATGATTCTAAAATTAACACAGACACAGGTATCAGGTCCGTTCTCCCATTCAGAGTTAAATTCATGGAGATTTCCGTCAGAGTCAGAACAACCTGAATCAATCATAGAAATGATTTTGGAATATCATTACTTTATTAGTTTTTATGGTGAAAATGTTTGTAATGGTTAAATGTTTTGCAATCTCCAGTGGCTGTGACGCATAAGGGATAGTTCACCCAAAATTGAAAATTCTGTCATCATTTACTCTTCACTTTTTCCAAACCCAAATTGTGAACATGTCTTATACTGACACGGAGGTGAAAAATCTTTAGAATATTGTCATCATTTTTGTTTTAGTATTCTTGTGCTGATGATGACATTGATTAAGGCATGTGGTCTGTTTTGAAGATGTTTTTGGTATTTTAATGGGTTTTCAATGAGCCAGGAACCTTGCTGTGGAGGATGAGGGAGCTCACAGGTTTCACTTAAAATATCTCATGTTGTGTTCTAAAGACATAGTCAGGTCATATAGGTTTGGAATGACGCATTATTGGTGCGAAATTCATAACAAAATTTTCATTTTTGGGTGAGATAACCATTAATTTTTTTAGGTGTAACATTTTTTTGTAAATAGAAAGAATTTTTGACACAAAAAAAAATCTGCAAATTAGTAGGTTTCTATATTTTGTGATTCATGTTTTTATTTTTCCCTATATATTTGAATTGCATTATAGCACCTGCTTATTCTTGCATCAACCTTTAACTTGGAAAAGTTTGAAAATGTGACTTCTATGAACATTTTAATAGTTTAAAGTGATATATTATCTGGGTTGGTGTTGTATATTGTGGTGCAAAAATCTTGTAATAAACTGCCTGTACATTCTCTGTCAATTTACAGACTTATTTCTCTATATTATTATACATTATATTAATTCAAACTAAAATGTCAATAAAAGCCACTTTGTTAAACTGCAGAGTTTAATTTTCAACATCAAAAGTCAACAGAGCAGAAAACAACATGCCATAATGCAATTCACAGCCGTAGATAAGCAGAAAACTCTTGTGAATCACAAAATACGGAAACTGTTAATTGCAGTTAATTTTTTAGAGTGTATTTAGACAAGACATAAATCTGGTGAGCCATTAGGTTTATAATTATATGAAGTCCATTTTTAAGAAATAAAATTCAGCTCAGCAATACAATAATAGAATAAAACAATAATAGTTCATAATGAGATAAGAATACACTTAAAGTAATGATAAGAGAGCTCATCTCTTATTTATTGGTATATAAATATGCCTTGCTGTTTAAGCAAAAATAAATTTAGATCATGTCTGAAAAGCCAATCAAATCTGCTCTGTAAATGTTTTTATTTGTTTATTTTGAGAAGCATTTGCATGGTCTGTGGTCAACATTTATGTATGGTCAATAGAAACATTACAATTACTGTATAGGCTTACCATAGTAACTTAGGAAATCATTACTTTGGAAAATGGACCTATAATGTATATTTCAATTAAAATTTTGTTAATTTTGAATTTTAAAAAGCTACATGGGTGGTTTTTAATAGAAGAAAATAATAAAAATATATTTGAAATAACTTTTGTTTTAAACCTTGTGTAGATTTAAGCACACCCACTCTGACTGTCTTAGAAAACTCTACAGCAGCAGCTATTCTGGTGGTGATGAAATCTCATAAAATAAATGGTAACACTTTATTTTTGCTGTCGTTACACATTCCATGTTAAGTAATAAATAATACATCAAGAACAATACATAATTTATAATTCCATGCTGCTATCCCTAAACCTACTGTAACAACTCGTGCTCTGTCCATATAAGTACAGGTACTATATTAATTAATTAATATTACTCAGTACTAGGGCAGCACAATATATCGTTTGAGCATCAATATAGCAA